CATAGATTTATTGGGAAATCAGACGAATTGCAGTTGAAACAGGGTTTCTTGTAGAGACAGGCAGCGTGAATGTAGCCCTTTTTTCTCTTTACGTCAATAACACCGTTGCAACCAAAGATCGTACCCGCCGGAAGACGTTCAACTGAATAATCTCCATTTTCAGGTTGCGACCAAGAGGGAGGATCTCGCTACTTAGGGAATGGATTCGAGAGGAAACCGAGTTCTTGAAAAGTCAGAAAGATGTCAACTCACTGTTTCTTAATTTTTGTCGAAGACCGATCCGAGGAATGCAAGCAATTTCTGCCACAGTAACTGAGTATATGGGTACGAACTGCTTCATTTGATTACCATGTCGGCCTTCACATTATTCGGCGACTTTAAATATTCCAAAGTCTTATCCGCTCACTCATCGCTCCATTCCTGTGAGCCATTAATTAAATGTGAATTCAAACTGTTCATTCAAACAATTCGATGGAACTGACCAGACTGTCGCTGTTCGTCATGTTGAGAGTCTCAAAAGTATCTTAGGACTCTTCCGGTAGTGGACTTTGCAAGCCTTAAATAATAGCATGTCTACAACATCTATTCGGCCCCAGCGGATATTAGCAAAATTCATGGGCAACTGATTTCATTGTAGTCTATACCTCCAGCGGCAATAAATACTTGGAAGAAAACCATTGCTGCAAGAGCTGACACATCTTGGAGGCGACAGATTTTTCACGACGAACTCCCTGTTTATAATTATGGCGATTGCATTGAAGCCGCACTTGTGCGCTTTTCAATATACATATATAGTAGAATGTTTCCACAGTTTCCGTCCGAAAAGAACCTCTCAAAAGTGTCTGTCTTTTCTATCACCGCTATTGATCCAAGTGCAGCTCAGTGCAGACATAAAGTATTAAAAAGGCAAAATGAATGATATAATATAGTAGTGAAGTAGGTGGAATCATCCTAGCCTAATGTTCATAATCTCTCCGATCTACTGCTTCAAGATATAGCCCCTGAAAATTGTGCTGAAACGGCTCGAAATAGGAGTTTCAGATGATGTAGTGTATTAGCATGAGGAGCTATACATAACGACTGCATATACAATGGAAAATGGAAAACTTCACACAGCAATCAAAACGCTCGTTTACATATGGTATTTGAACATTCGATCTTCTCTGTGAGTTCACTCCCTGTAAAGTC